TCCTGCTGAGTCACATGCAGAGGTTGCCAACCCATCACCCCTCCCTTGAAGATGACCAGGTCTCCCACAGAAGGATACCACTCCCCCCTTTTCAGTAATATCCCACCTTGTCTTCTGATCTTGCTCACCAACACACAGATTTACACTCTAAACTATGAGGGGTTGAGGTAAGGCATGAGTATGAGGGGGTTGGGGGGGTGGCGGGGCCTAAATGTTGGTTAGTAAGGAGTTGGGGCGAAAAGAGAATGGAGACTTTTCATTGTCTCCTGTCATGCTTTAAATTTCATTTCCATGCTTTTCAAAAACTCCAATTTTCTGGATCCAGGTGCTGGGCTATTTCAGGATTTATCCTGGATTTATTTCAGTTGGTACCTGAATTGACTTGAAGGAAATGTGTGTGTGTAACAGAGCTGCCATAGGTCCCCCTTATTTGAGGAGCCCAGGGATGCCTGAAACCAAAGGTAGTACTGATCCCTGCATGCACTATGATGTTTCCAATATATACACATGACAAGGGCAAATTTATAAACTAGGCACAGTAAGAAATTAATAATGAATACAACAGACCAATTATAACACGATTCTGCATTTAAAGTTATGTGTGTTCTCTCTTTCAAAATATCTTATTGTACACACCTAGTTTTCAGACTATGATTGACTATGGATTTGTTTTCCAAAACCACGGAAAACAAAAACAGATAAGGAGGTCTCTGCTGTAGTTTGAGAAGGAATAAGCTTGGACTGCCCCCACCTCATCCCAGTCTGCAGAGTCAGTCTCTAGAAAAGCTCTTTGGCCCACAGAGCTCCAGTTCACTCACTGCTGGTTCTTTGACAGGAGGCCCCTCAGTGTCTCTCACTCTCCCTCTGACTCTGTCCAGCAAGTACATGTGCCCTAAATAAATTCAGCATCAGCTAGGTCATAATAATAGCACATTATATGCTACCCTGACCACTATACAACGAAGTGCTGAATCTTAAGTGGAGAGCTTGAGGAAGGTTTACACGTGTCTCCACCTATATACAAGCACCACAACTCAAGAACAACTTTCCAGTCCCCAAAAGGCCCCCTCATGCTCTCTCCTAATTAATACATATTTTGGTTCTGAGTCATATTTAAAATAATTGGAAATTGGAAGAGAACCGTGCAAGGCGGAAGATCATCAGCCCTCCAGGCCTGGGCAGGGCCCTGGGGAGGAAGGGAAAGGAATCAGCTGATGATGTTCACGTGGCCGCAGGAGCTGGGGACGTGACCGTTATCAGAAGCCAGTGCAGGCTCCCTGGAAGTGGCAGGGCTGCTGTCCAAAATCTTGGCGGGTCATTGCTATTTACAGGCAACCTTTCCGGTTTGTGGTGAATGTCCCAAGGAAGCTATTTTTAAGCAGGGGTATGGCCTGCCCAGTCTCTGGGTGACAGATGAAACTGGTGTGGATAGAAAGTGAGGTGGTCTAACCAGCCAGGTCAGAGGGCCAGATCTTAAAACAAAACGTGATTGTGTTTGTCTCTAAATGCAGACCCCACACAACACGTGGAAGGAGGTTCCCCCAGCCAGGAGCAGCTTTAGACACCTTCCTCCTCCCTGGACCTGGACTTATGGGTCCATTGACCACAGCCAATACCCTCCCCACCCTCGTTTCCCGCTCCCTTCACCCCCAGCGTGGCGCCAGGGTGGGGATTCTGAAAGAGCAAAACAAATGCCCTACAGCTGCAGTGGTCCCCGCTGGCCCTCCCACCCCTGCAGGCACAAAGACCCCTCTCAGACTCTGGGAGAGGCGCCTCAAGGACCAGGGATGGGGAACAAGTTGGGCCGCAGGCTTTCTCCTTCCAGGGGCAGGGAGCTGCTGAGAGCCGACAGGTGCTGGGAGTGGGCCGCGGCCTCAAGGGCACAACTGGGGAGGCTGAGACGCGATTGGCCGAGGGGCCGCTCGGCCCCGCCCAGCCCGGAGCCTTTTGCTGGCCGCGCCGCCAGCTCCCGTTACTCTTCTTGGCTGTGTGCGCGCAGCGGGACGTGGGCGACTGCAGCTTCAAGGTCAG